CCAGGCAGTGATGGGGCGGGCAGAGGCTCTGGGGGCTGCAGTTCAGTCGCCACGGAAGCTTTCCTCCTCCCTCCGGAACCAGCCCGACAGACGAAGTGCCCGCATCTGCCTCCGCCCTCCTCTCCCCCCCAGCTCCAGGCGAGGGGGGCGGGCTGCCAGTGGGGGGCCGAGAAAGCCAGGTAGGAGGATGTACTCCGTGGAGAGCTCCTTCCATCAGGTGGACGAGCCCTCCGGCCGGAGCAGTGCCCCGCTGGAGCAGAGCGGTGGGCGTCCCTCCTGGGGGAAAGGAAGGAAAGGGTGGGTGAGCTTGTGGACACGCTTATCCGTGGCCTGGCTTATCGACTTCGGTGCATCTTGTTCCAAACAGGAGTCTGAAGGAAATGGCCTTTCTGCCAAAGAAGGCTTTTCCGTGCCCTGCCAACTGCTGCCATTTCTCCAGAGGGGATCGCGCCGAACGTTAAATCCTGCCACGGAACCAGCAGACCCTCTTGCGAGGCGCACATGGAGGTGGAATATCACGTCTGTAGACTTTCTGTGGTCCTGCCTCTTGGCTTTGGGTCAAGGTACTGCCCAGTCTTGGTGACTGTTTTGTTGCTGTTGACAACGGCTCTTAGTTAAAAGTTCCGGGCCAGGTGCCCTAAATTTGAGTGGATTGGAATCTGATTCACTCGCACTCAGCACCAATTACATGGGCCAATACAGTGACTTCAGTATTACTGGCTTCTCTCCCTCTTGGGGCTTACCGAAGTTTTACTTTCCTTTGGTCTGTATCTTTCTCAGCTAATGTGGGAAGAACACCGTTCATTTATGTCTACTGCAGTGGATAAGTACTATAGGTCTCTTCATGCAAAAGGCTGGAAAAAGCCCCATAAGAGGACTCTGTCTGGAACAACACTTCGTAGCCTCTAGGCCACTGTTGCCTCATTTGTGAAACAAAGAGGATGAATGACAAGCTCTTTAAGGCTCTTCCAGCTCTAAATCAAAAGATTATAGGAGGCAAGATTCTATGAGATTATAAAGTAAAAGATGATTTCTGTTCAATATCAGTTAAATTTCTATAACATGGTAGTTACCGGTGTAGAAACAGATATAAAGACAGCTTTTTAACTCTTCCAGTATGTTGTGCAGATGAGGGATTTAGCCAATACTTAGCAAGCAGAAAGTCCAAAGAAAAGTGTGAAATTTCTTTCACTTAGGGCAACATCTCTAACTCCCAAATTCCCTGCTAACACACTTGGTGAGATGAGAAAGACACTTCAGTTTGGTAGCAAGGTATCTGGCCAATACAAAGCTTTCTGTATTTTCACATTTGCATGTGGACAAAGGACAGTTAGCTGTGAACTTTCCATTCTCTCCAGAAGATATAATCCTTGTGTATTCCACTTTTTAAAAAAATCTTTATTGTTGAAAGTATCACATGTCTGCTTTTTCCCCCATTGACCTCTCCTAGCCCGCCCTCAACAACCTCCCCCAGCCCCCAGGGTTCATTCCACTTTGTATTCCTTACCCATTAATCCCGGTCACTCCTGCTTTTCCAGAGGCAAGTGGTTACAAGTCCTTCCTGCCTTCTCTCCATAATGGGATCAGCAACACGTACCAAGGATGCTAACACTTTTAAGTGGCAGGACCAATTATCCCCTATGTAAGAAGTTGTTTGTACAGCTCTTAAGGAGTCTATAAAATGAAAACAAACAGATGTTTCACATATAGAAGATAGCAAGTAAAATGCGTTTCTAACACCATGCTCATGAAGTCACCAGAATGTCTAGATTGAATCACCAGGAGGCCAACAAGCATAAACATGAGTCTTGACTTTTCAAGGGATCAAACCGCTGTGGGCAAATGATAAAGCCAAATAAACAGCACTACAAACTTCTCCTCACCCTTCACAAGGTCTCTACTCATCTCCCCTTCTACTCATCTTGACTCAAATACTTCCTCCTCCTCCAAAGAAGATTATTTACCTGTCTCTCCAGGCAGATTTATAAGTTCATTTTCTTTCTTTTATTTTTAATATATTTCTTTATTGATTTCAGAGAGGAAGGGAGAAGGAGAGAGAGAGATAGAAACATCAATGATGAGAAAGAATCATTCATCGGCTGCCTCCTGCACACCCCCTACTGGGGAATGAGCCTGCAACCCAGGCATGTGCCCTCGGCTGGAATCGAACCCGGGACCCTTCAGTCCGCAGGCTGATGCTCTATCCACTGAGCCAAGCTGGCTAGGGCTATAAGTTCATTTTCTAACCTGGTTGTGATGTTTTCATTTGAGTAGTGAGCATGTTTTTTTTATTTGTATGTATGTTTCTCCACCAAACTGTTATCTCTTTGAAACAGGACAGTCTATTTTCATTTTGTTTCCCAAGTTAGGCTGGTACATTGCAAGTGCTCAACAAATGTTTGATACCTTTTAAAGCTAATGTTTATTGAGTATGTACTATGTGCCGGGCACTATAGTAAACATTTTGCATGTATCATCTCATTGGGTCCTCATGAAAAAATATATTATCCTCACTGTGTATGTATGACCCAGAGTAATTAACATATTGTCCACTCTCCCACCGCTGGTGGCAGAGTTGGGATTTGAATTCAGTACTTTCTGCCTTCAAGGTCAATGTGATTAATGATTATAATGCCTTTAAATTTGATAAGAAAGGAAAGAATAATACTGTTTCACAATGTAGTTTCTGATTAGTAAGCACTGTTTCTAATTATTTACTCACAAATATAAATATTTACAGTGAGGTTTATGGGCTCTGATGCTGCTGTTATTAGCACCACTTTATACCTATTTATACCTTTATAATTTTCATATATTATCCCACTTGGTTCTCAAAATAACTCAGTGAGGTAGGCAAACATATTATTTTCACTTTATAGATTTAGAAACTTAGGTGCAGAATGATAAACTGACTTACAACTTGTTCTTAGGACTGAAAATGTGGCCAGGAGGAAATTAATGGCCCTTCTCTTTTTTTCTCCTGCACTTTGCACTCTGTAAAACACCTTATCAATATGGCTTTGCACTGACTGATATTTGTGTATGTGTTTCCCCTTCAGGCTGTGTACCTCTAATGGTCAGGTAGGGACTGTTTGTCCAGGAGGCAGCCATGGCGTACAGCACTGGGGTTAGGATCAGAGGACCTGAGTTCCAGTCCTGGCTCTGCTACCCATAAGCTGTGTGGCATGGGGAGAACGACTTAACCTCCTGTAAAATGGGGGTGGGGGGGTCTCTACCTACCTTACCTCTATCTGGCTGTGAGGATTAGATGGGATGTTTTCAAAAATACATGTTAACTATGTGTTGAGCACAGGCAAGGGATTATTTGTGTTTATCTTGGTATCACTGCAACACAGTTCCTTGCTGCTAAGCTTCTCAATAAACACCCATTAGATTGAAGGTGCCCTGGGCCTGGCCTTAGCCAGCCTCCAGCCTCAGCTTCCCCAGGTTTGTCCTGGACTATTTGCAAAGGCAAACTAAGTCTAAGAAGCACAGTCACACCCCAGGCACATGGCTTCTACAAACAGTGACCACAGCTGCACGCCACAGGGAAGTCTTTGCTTATGTACACAATGATAACGACCCCTGTCAATAAAAAGCATAATTTACACAAAGAATTGATTGTATAGTACTTGCCTTTGTGTTATTGCTTTCGATTTTTGTTAAAGCACTTTCACTTACACATTTCTTTCCTATAAATACCAAGTTTTGCTTGTTTGCTGATAGTCACACCTAATTAGAAGTAGTGAGTTCTAAACTCAAGTTTAAAAAAATATTCAAAGAGATTGAACCATTGAAGAAATTACCTTTGAGATGAGTCAGAACCAGCAAATGGAGTGCAAAGTCAGCTGCTATCCTGAATTATCCGATCAATCATTTTTAGTGTCTTCATGTTTCATAAGTAATTCCATAAAAGGCTTACTTTGCTTACTTAACTCAGTGATTGTATTTTTAGTTTTCTGATCATAAAAGCAATATGTTAGCCCTGGCCAGTGTGGCTCAGTCGGTTGGAGTGTTGTCCCGTGCAAGGAAAGGTCGTGGGTTCGATCTGGTCAGGAGTGAGAATGGGAGGCAGCCAATTTATGTTTCTTTCTCACATCGATGTTTCTCTCCCTCTGCCTTCCTCTCTAAAATCAATAATAAAAAAACACATATCTTCGGGTGAGGATTAAAAACAAAAGTAATACGTTAAAAAGTAAAACATGCCCACTATGGAAAATAATAACCACAACTGATACCATCACTGAGAGATACTGTTCTCAGATATTAGCATTTTGGTAGAATTCTTCCCCCAGTTTTCTTTGTATGAATTTGATATAGTTGATTGAAATTATGCTTTAAATTAATTTTGAACATTAATATTTCATTTATAAGCATTTTTAATTTATTAAAATTAACAGAAACCTAATTTTTGCAAAGTAATTTGATATTTGAATGAGTTAGATTGTCTTTCAAAGTAGGTTATAACTTAAGAAAGGAATTCTAAACATTTTAAATTTTTTTATTAATTTTTTTTAGCGCGAGAAAGAGAAACATTGATTTGTTGTTCCACTTATTTATGCATTCATTGGTTGCTTCTTGTACATGCCCTGACTAGAGATCGAACCCACAATCTTGGCGTATCTGATTGACGCTAACCAACTGAACTACTGGGCCAGGGCTTAAGAAAGAAAATCTTAACTTGGGGAGAGTAGGTTTGTTCTGGAAACTTTACCTTAAAAACATTAACATTCTAGCCTGGTTGGTGTGGCTCAGTGTTGAGTATCGACCTGTGAGCCTGGAGATAAGGGTTCGATTCCCCATCAGGGCACATGCCCAGGTTGTGGGCTTGTGTGTAGGAGGCAGCTGATCAATGATTCTCATAATTGATGTTTATATCTCTCCCTCTCCCTTCCTCTCTCTGAAATAAAATAAAAACATATTAAAAAATCACAGAAAAACATGAAGACTGCTATCCTATTAGCACTCAGTTTCTACCTTTGAAGTGGGCATCATAATATCTATAGAAACCCAAGCTCCTATTTAAGTATCTAGGTTTTTTTCTTTTTAAAGGTTGAGCTCTATTAACCTATTTGGTAAACTACAATTATGTAGGTGCTTGGTAGTTGTTAAGTAATGAATGAAGGAAAAACCATTCTTTGTGAAGAGGCTTTTACCATGCACAGCCAATTTCAACCAGTTAATTAGTTCTCAGCAAGATTGTAGGTGAAAACCTAAATGGCCAGAAACTAAAAAAATGCAGAGAAAGCAGATTAGTGACAAGGGCTCAAATGTCTTCTTTGGGAAGGAATCTTCATTTTATATACCACCAGGAACCTCAGCGCCAAGCATACCAGCCATGCTTATGTGGCAGCTGAGTGTCACCCCTGTTCTGTGAGTGGCTGACCTCCCGAACTAGTAATGATCAGTCTAAAGGCTGAATGAACTGTTGAGTTAAGAGCCAGACTGATTGCCCTGCAGGTAGAGCAAATTCCCACGTTGCCAGGTAACTTGGTGGAGCTGCCTAGCACAGGTCTCAGAAGGATTTAGGAGGTTTTAAGTAATATTAGTGCAAGGGGAAGTACAGGGAGCACTTGCTAGTTAAAATTCTGCCACTTTATTTCTTTTGTGTATCATAAGTCCATTGTTTTCTATGCAGTATCTCTGGCTTGATTGGTTTGTTTTTATGTTTTTTTTCTATTAAGATGTTAAGTACTATGTTCACTCAATCTGCTGCTGTTTAACACTCTACTATTGGGGTCCTGGCCAATGTAACAGCATGTACACAAACCTTCAAGAAAGATTTTAACACTGGGAAGAAAGAGAAAGAACTATCACTATTTTCAAACAATATGTAATCCTATTTAATAAAAGAGCAATATGCAAATTGACCATCACTCCAACACACATGATGGTTGGCAGGGGAGGGCAGTTGTGGGCGATCAGGCTGGCAGGGAGGGCAGTTGGCGACCATTAAATTTCCTTTGGAAAAAATAAAATTAGTTGAATAGTGCCCAACCCTCCCAATTCATGTCCACCTAGTATCTCAGAAAGTGACCTTA